TGACTGCAACGAGAATCCTCGCAGCAAGTACAAGCACCTGCTTCAGAATCGCATGCTACAATAGTAGACGGCAAAGAGAGAATCGATTCTATCGTACTTGCCAATTTGTTGATAAATACGATTGTAGTTGCGATTGTAAATGCAATGAAAGAAGAAAAACCGTTTACAATTGTTGCAAAACTGCGTGTATAATTCTCTAAAATATCCCTTATTTTTCTATTTTTTCTTTATTATTTTTCCTTTATTATTTTTATTATTTTATTATTATTATTGTTATATTATTTTTATTATTATTATCGATTCCTTTTATTATTTTTCCTCATGGGACCTTTATCCACATATCTTTAAATTAATTCTTCTTAAGTCTTTTCGCGCACATCGAGATTGCGAGTGAAACTCTGACGAAGTTCTTAATCGGATGACGCGGTATCTTGATTAAGCGGCCTTCTAAAGTGCTCTATGAAGGTATCGATGTGACCCTAATCCGTCGTAATGCAGGGATGATAATCAACGCTTGATTCGACGATGCGAATTTGGACAATCGATTGCAGAAATTATCGTTGATAAGCTTGCATTTTGTGGACTTTGTTATGAGGATATCGTTTACGATGCACACGCGCTTCACGTCCGCGTCGGTTTTTGATCAGAGCTCGTATCTATCGCTCGGAATGAGCTCTTTCGCCGCCCATATTTACATGACATACCCTTGAATCTAATCTTCACGATTGCAAGTCGAGGTCGGGATTACACGATGTAAATTTATGAATAATCAATGGCTCTTGAGTTTAGCTAGTTCATTCGAAACGCAGATTAACTATATGCATATATAGAGTACTTCACAAGAAACGTCATTCATCTGTAAGCGGCAAAATAAATTTCGTGTGACTTCCTTTTCTCAATTAAAATAAATATTATTTAAATACTTTTCAAATTAATAATAATAATAATAATAATAAATATATATATTTTTTTCTATATTTTTTTTAATCGATAAATATTTCTTGAACATATAAATTTAATTTAAAGACAAAAGTTTAAAATTATAAACTGTAAGAAATTTTATCATTTTATAAAAACGATTATAAAGAACGAGCGGTTACAAATTAATCAAGAAAGATGTAAAAAGATAAAATGATTGATCACAGTTGAATTTAATTTTAATATTCTAATGCTTTTAATACTTTATCGATCCACTGTTTCAGTTTTGATATCCGCAATATCCTCATTCGTTATGCATCTCGTCTGCAAATATTATAAAGTATTCAGAGAAATTAGACATTAAATATATTCGAAAATCAATTAATCTAGGCTTTCGGAAAATTTAATACAAATTGTGTATTTTCGATACAATTTTAATTTATAACGCATGCGAAATCGACCAGCATTTCAATCACGCCTGCATAAAAGAGAGGAAGAGAGAGAGAGAGAGAGAGAGAGAGAGAAATTAAAAATTTAATATCTTTATAATTTCACATATTTGTATTAAGGTTGATTAAACTTCGAAATATGTTCTATATAAAAAAAATTGAAGCGTAAACTGATGGTCCAAATTTACAAGCGACATTGATTTGCAATCGGTGCTTGTCGCATTAATACACGCAAGAAGAGAATCAGTGAAAATCTGGTGCGGTTGCAATATCCCCGCGTTTTCGATTTAAAATAGGATGGCACACGCTATCGTCCGTTGCAGCTCTCTGTCGCGCATCGACAGGCCAGATGTAACGGCGACCGCAACAATACCGAACCCGGTTATTTTCCTTCGTTGGCGAAGATTAATTCGCCGCACCCACAAATTGCCGAATTAATTCCAAGTCCGGCGAGTTAACGAGATTATTTAGAGTGGGCGGCAGAGAAATATCGCCAATGCGTTTGACTGTTTTTTCCCATGAGTGTGATGAATTCATTGGAGATATAATGAATCACGCATGCAACAGAAGATTATTGTTGAACTTCGATCGCGTCGATATTTATAATAGACAATTTTCACAACGAACTAACAGACTAATTAAGAACGAGATAAGACAATATTTAAAGTTATTGTATTGGCATTGATCTCGATTTTATCAATAATTTTTATCTCACATCTTGAACAATCGTTTAAGATAATATATTTAATGTAATTAATGTAATAAAATTTATCTTTATAATGTAATTTAAGATAGTTATTTATGTCATTCGTTTACTTCCAAAACATAATATATCACTATATTATACAGGAATTTTAAAAAATGTTATTTAATAAATATCTAATAATTATCTAATATCTAATTTTTATTTAATAAATATTTAATAAATAATTAAATAATTTCGAAACAAGACGAAACAATATCAAGACTAATCTTATAATTATCTCGTGCAATGCAATCAAAAAACTTCGCGAAAAGATAAGATTTGAAATTATGAGATGAGATAAGATATGAAATTTTCTAAGATCGGCTTCCATCGAAATATTGACAATATGCAGAATATTCGGTAAAGCAAGTTTGCAACATCGTTATTTTCGCAAAAGTCAATTCTTAGAAAAATATACGAATTTCGCAGACCTCGACCGCTGGAAGAAAACGAACGACCTTGTATCTTTATCGAGTATCATGTTGCTTGTCGATGTCGCCATCAGACCAATTAATTATTCCTTTAGCAAACGGCTTAATAAATTAATTTAACGTGCGGTTTCGCGCCGCGCAAACCCACACTCGCGCATACATTCGTTTTCATTAACGAACTCGACGCAATCGTTAATGCAACGTGGACAAGGGCACACGGCGACAGATGTACTCGCACGTGCAAATTTAACGCGACGACGTGCTCGCGTTACGCTAGCTCGTCCCTGCATCTGGGACAACGGTATCTGGACCCATTATCGCGTCATTGTTCGCGTTAAAATGGGCCGGGTATACCGAAACATTATCTTTTCGTGCACGGAAACTGTGTCCCGTCGTCGCGAAACAGGAGAATCCCGGCCGAGAAGTCGGAAGAGCGATAACGAAGGCGAGCAGAGAAAATAGAGAGGCAAAAAGCGGAAGGGAAAAAAGAATCAAATGACGATATAATTACTGACACAACGCGTCGAGAGTGGAAAATGCGCTGAATAAAAGAGACCAAAAGATCCGCGCGTTTCAAACACGGGACGCGAGATATAAAGTCCGCGAGCGAACGAGGCTGGAACAAAGGTTGACGCATCAACTAGATATCAACTACCAGCGCGACAATAAATTCAAAACTAGACTCGAACCACTTTCGCAATGAATGACGCAGTTAGATGGACTAGACAGGTAGAGTCTTAAAATAAATGGAACACGATATATTATGCGGTTTACGATAGACTTTTGGCCCCATTATCGGTTATCGCGAGGCTTTCCCACGCAAAGTGACGCACGAGAGGAAGCTAGCGATGAGCTCCTTCGGTTCCCAAAAAGAGATTAGTATTCTCGAGCATTGGCATATTTAATTTTGGCAGCGAGCGATAAAGATAACATTGTCATCTCTCGTAAAGTTGAACACTACGAGGTACACACGTTTAGGGTAAATTGTGTGGCCATTCAATTCTGGAGATTCTATTTGCCCGAAAAGTTTAATGTAAACGTTGAATAGTCGGACTGAATCGAGTTCATTAGCCAGACAGAATGGAATGTCGCGCGAAATGGTGAAATAAAGATACGTTTATATTAAATTCAACACAATAATTAAAGCTCTAAAAATATCATGTTTGTATAATTGTATACAAGTAAAATTTATAATTGTATGTAATAAGCGAGCATATGTGTGTGTAACTAGACGAAATAGGAATATCTGTCTGAATTATAAGAGACACTTTAAATCCTTTGTACCAAAAGTAAGCAAAAGATAACTTTACGGAGTAGCTTTTTTTTGCAACAGCGCAAGTAAATAAATTGTTCAAATGTCACTCGAACGTTTGCCGTTTTACTTTGATATAAATTTGTCGCAAAATTAGGTCACACCGAGGCGCGATACTCTATAAATTAACGAGATCGTAAGAAGAAGTTAAAACAAACCATCTTGTTTGAAACTTTTATCATCACTTTTTCTCGCGACCGAGGTAAAAAGCTTTCAAGTCCATGAGAAAAATCTCTTGCTAGTCTCCGACGTGCAAAGATAATCCAAACAATATATATTAACTTCATTTTATAAGAGGATTTCGCATTTTTTTCGCCCAAATACAAGTAAGTGGATGCGAAAACTTGTTGCTACTTTTTTACGTCGTATGAAAATAATATTAATAATATATAATTCGAGTGACGTTTTTTACTACAAATAGAAAAGTTGCAATATTCTTCTAAAAATAGTTTAAATAATTTCCTCATCAGTATTTCTCGAATTATGTATGACATTTTCTTCATCGTCGATTCCCGCGATGTTGATTAACTCTAATCTTGGTGTTCTATCTGTGTCATGATCGCATCTGGAGAGAGAATGAATTCAGTTAACTTCAATTAAGGTTAACCAGAGTCAGAGACATCGATTCTTAAAATGAACGCTCATCGATCTAGTAACACGTCAATTACTCTGATTGCGCGAACTCACGCGTTAAGTCTAAATTACACAGAGAGAATATCTCCCCGTATTTCAACAATATGTAATTTCTCGATTAACGCGTTGCATACATTTTCACTTAAATATTTAAGATAGATCCCTGTGTTTATTATAATAAAAATTTAATTAATAAAGAATGAGTCTTCCATGACACACTTGCTGAAGAGATTTATCTCATTTTACGATATGACGTTACTTATAATTCATTCGTGTTAATTCATCGTGAAAATATTTGTTCCTAAGAAGTCAATTGTCGTGAATAAACCATTTTGCCTCTCAGATCACGGATAAATCCGGAAGAATTAAAATAGCAATGCGGAGCAAATCGGGCTTTAGACTTTAGGATACGTATGCGTGATGGTGGGTGGCAACCGGCTTGCAACCGTGGCGGGAGAAACGGCCTCTTGGCAGGGGAATAATAACGAGAGTCGGACTGACACACACGGCGGCGTCCAAAGAGTCGTCAGAGACGCGTAGAGAGGCTTTATAAATCGCGAGGATGCACGTCGAAGCAGTGACACCTCGGCCAACGGCGGTGAAAAACGCGCGTTCGCGAGCGCATCTCTTTTACACCTAACACCGCGTATAAGCGTCACGGATACATATATACGTGTACCTCCGCGGAACGCGGATTAAAACTTCTCCGGCGCGATTAAAACTTTCCTTGCGAGCGACATCGAAAAGTTCCCCACGTCGATGATCGACGCGACAACTCGATCGCGTTGTACTTTCCTCGTGAAGAGGTGGCGAAAAACTTGCCGTCCCTCTCATCCTTCGGAGCGACACTTGGTGAAGAGGGATTGTTCCGATCGCGATTGATTTACCAGCCGTACTCTTTATCAATCTCCATCTTCGGCGCATTTCGGCGAATCGAAATAACCGAATTTCCCGGGGCGTCGAGAACGCTTTTATCGATACACAAGTCGAATCAATATCCTGCCTGCCATATTGCCCGGTATAACAGCCAGGTTCGTTCGCGTCGGGTCCGCTCAATCGGTTAACTTCCCCGGAAACAGATCGACCGGAATCCCGCCACCCCCGAGCAAGATTACGAGATTCTTCGACGCGCTCCGGGGCTGCAATCGCATCGATCCATCGCAAATTGGATTGCCGTTAAAACCTGGCGAGGCGAGGATCGCCTTGGAGCCGAGCGGTCGACATCGGCGCAAAGTTGCCTCGACCAGAGAGAGAAAGAGAGTGAATTTTAAAGTGCGTTGCAATTAATTCGTCACGAGGAGGAACGCCGCTTCGCACCTGGTGCGCCGTAAATGAGCGTGATCGGGAAAGCGTGATTGACAAGGACGTGCACACGTGCTACAAGAGTGTGCATCACGGATGAGACTCGTTAGCGGTGGGCTACAGTAGTAAGAGGCTAATTAACGGTGACTCTAACAAGCAGGTAAGTACGATATATTTTTTTTTTAATACGAAGCTGTCGAAATAATTGCGTGCTAAAATAATCCGAATTTCGTAAAACGAGCTTATGTACCTGCTGACAATGAGTGGAAAAAAAAATGCGAAAAGATTTAAAATAATCACGCACGTGTATAAAATAAGCATTTGAATTTTCTTTCCGCTGTCAAGTGACGGAAATAATTTTCAGGTACACCTTTCACTTACACCTTCCATCATATATTTTTTTTTTAATTAATGAGACGTAACAAGCTTGGCTACCAGATAATAATATGTGCAGGTAACCGCAAAGATTGACTTTACTGGAAAAATTTAATATCCTCTCTATATGTGATCCCGCATATGATTGCATATAATTAAACGCGGCCGCATCTCGATAGCCGCGTAGAAATTTAGAGAGGGTACTTTGATTACATTATCATAAATGAAGATCAATTGAAAATCCTATTAAAGCATTATGCAAATTTAATAACTGTTAATTAACAGGCACTACAAAATTTTGATACGTAATATAACGTGCTGACGTAATTATGGCATTTTGAAATGACTAGCTTTTATCGAAAAAGATGCGGATTTAAACGGAATACTTGCACGTTTTTCATCGTGTATAATGTTAGAGGCATATCGACGTGAATTAAAAGTGAAGCGATATTCAGTTTCTTCAGGGTTATCCGACGCACACGATAATACGTGATAAACAAAACATTCTGGAAAGAATTATTAACTGACCGTTTTGCAAATTTTATTACTCGAAAATATTTTATAAGCAGGGAATGCTCATCTAATCCGTTATCATAATATTTCAAAACACGATAATTCTTCTTTAATATATAAAATTATATCCTGCTAAATAAAATTAAAAATTAAAATTTTTTATAATAGATTTTTATAATAAATAAAATTTTTTATAATAGAATTATATCTATAGTATAAATTTATCTGAATAGATTTCGTTTATATATTTTTCGTTGGCCACATTTTTTCAATTAATATAAATTTCATTAATTTTCAATGTGCTTTTTGTATCAAAAACGATAGACTTATACCCATTTTATACCCATTGTATGATTATATATTCGTGCGATAAATGATTAAAATATTTAAAAAAGATTATTAAAAAGTATACAAAGCATCGAAATATTAAATTAAATTATAACATGTGGTACAGTTAATTATGCAAAAACTAAATTTTAATTTAATATTTTCAATAAAACCTCACAAATTGTTTTAATTTTAATAACAAATATCCGACGGAAGCACATGTCATTGAAGAGATTTATTTTTTTTTTTCTAGAAAAAAAGTTTTTTCAATTGACACATATAATCACCTGTACATAATCACCTGTATAATAGCCGGCAATTATTCACGCTATCTTATAACTCTCTGGATATAAATTGACTTCCGCTTCGATTGATCCTGTCTACATTATTATCGTGTGGAATTATCGCGAATTATCGTTAATCAGCGCTGATAAGATATCTGCTGAAAAAAAATCTGCACGAGGCTGTTGTTCCTTATCGCTGTTTCGATCCGCGAAGAGAAAGAGTCTGTTTATTGAAATATCATTGACATGACGCTGGCGTTATCGCATTCTCGACCGCTCTCCTTGCATTCTCGCATTAATGAGATCTATAATTACGAATGTATAATTACAACAGAGTGGCGCTTTGCCCAAGGCGACAATCACGCGTTGCGATGTCGTTCGTGTCGAAAACTGCCGCGACAAGAAACATCGTCAAGAAGCATAGCAATTTCGGCTTACTCGAGATTAATTCGTTCTACCTTTTCCTCTCTGTCCTTCGTATCAGTTATTTTAAGATAAATCGTTTCACAAAATTAAAATATAAATATATTAAAATAAAATAAAATGTATCTCCTGCTTCTTTTATAGAAATTAAATTGTATAGCAGAATTGTTAAAATTCGGAAATTAACTAAATTTAATTAACCGAAATTTAATTAACCGAAATTTAATTATCCGCAAGTGCGATCAATTGTATTTCAAATATCAAAATATGAAAGTGAGAATTATACTAATTTCAATAGTGAGCACATTTTAAATACTATTGAAAATAATCATTTTAAAGAATAGTGTTATTTAAATAAAACATTACATAAATAAATTATTATTTCAATATTATTTCAATATTATGTAATAAAGAAAATAATTAAATAAATAAAATAATAAAAAAATTTAAGAATTAGAACAAATTTAAGAAATATATAAATCGCGTTAGTGATAAATAAGTACTATAAACATGTTTCATGAAATACATTATTACAAACACAATTTTATGAAAATAGCATTTAAACATTTTACTATATTACTATAACAATAATTAATTTAATTAATGATTTAAAATTCCTAACCAGGAATATAGATTTGAAATATTTATTTATGATTCATAAAATCAAATAAATATTCAAATAGAACACATTTTAATTAATACATAAAAATTATTTTATTTCAAAATAGCTATTTATAAATAAAAAATAGCGAGAGATAAATATAACACAAATATTTTTCTCCTCTATTTCTATGTTTTACCTGTTTTACCTGTTTTTACTTGTTTTCGTTTTATAAAATTGAAACGAGAGAAATGATATATGATATACTTAAAATTTAATTTATTTCAAGCTTAATTAGAAAAACATTTATATAAAATATAAAAATATGCAATACAAAATTTTATTCCATTTTTATTTTTTTGTTTTATTCCAAAGCAAACTCTTAATCTTTTATTTAATATATTGTATTAACATTTACATTCCATATTTGCATCTAATTGTAAGAAAAAGATGATAAATATAGAAATATGTTCTCATCGTTTTATGTCTATCATAAATTAGTGCGATTTTATTTTATTGAAACTCGGTCCAAGGTTGATCATCCAGAATTGGACATTTATGTTTCTCGCATGAAAAAATATACAACGATGAGTACAGCAGTGATCTCATAGATACTTGACACGCTCGTTCCATGCCAGCAAGCAGTCACAACGATGTTCCTGACTGTCATTGAGAGCATATGCCGTTATGTTAACAACGTGGGGCCCTGCTGACAAGGTCACGCGATTTAATCGTAGACTTGTGAAACGATTCCGTTGAGATTGAGTCAATAGAGCCATGTCGAAGCATCGTCATCATGTAAAATAATGTTACAGATCATGGCTGTCAATCATATGCGCGTTTATGACGATGAAAGGATTCGTTGTCAAGTTACGATTTATCAGATGAAGTTTACAAATAGTAAAACAGTATTTCATTGAAATAATGAATGAATGCAATTAGAAGCAGATAATTGGATGTAATTGAGATGGTAATTAAATCAAATAAAATTACGAAATCAAGTTCTATTATCATATTAATTAGAACAAATTATTGAATTTCTCGTGTTTGAAATAGTTTTCCTTTTGCATATTATTTTACTAATAAACATTTAATTAAAGTTCCCAAATATGACTATTTAAAAAACAATTTATTAATAAATAAATATGCTATTGATTATTTTTATGAAAACAGTAACGATACATTTATATTCTTTATAATAAAAAAATATTGCTCAAGTAAATAATATTTAAGCAAATTTATTATTGCAGTTTTATTTATTTATTTCACAGCTCATATCGGTTATATAATATAATATATATTTCTCTCTTTGTCAAAATATGTAATCACATATTTTTATTTAGATGCGTGTAATCACATATTTTTATTTCATTTTTAAATAAATCTTATTTGAAAGCTTATCTATATTCATTTATTTATATCTCCTATATATAAAATATATATTTCTCTTCTTTTTAAAATGTCACATATTTTGTATAATATTTTTATTATTTTCTGGACGACTTTTCGCGTAAATAAATTTCTGCACTTTATGTGCCTCTCGCTTCGCTCAGCTGGAGGCCGCATTTGACGTTTCAAAAGCGTCAAAGAAAGCAAGTCCCCCTTATTCTGAAAATCACGACGATAAACATTACACAACCTTCTGTCGTTTCTCTAATGTTGCCCTCAAGCGCATCTCGAGTGCATGAGCGCGCATGCAGATTAACGGTGTGCATCGCGTATCGCTTATCGACAACCCGGCATGCACGTCCGATAGGTCGAAATTTTCTGGATGAGCGAATCGCATGAGAAGCATCCTGCGAAATCGACGATAAATCCCCGCAGACGGACACTGCCGTTCCCCTCCCCCGCGCGTTACATCAATTCACTATCAAGCTGTCGCAGCTCGTGACAAAAAATCTCCTCTCGTGCGCACCTTGGATCCATCCTGCTCGTCCTCCTCCACCTCGAGCATGCACGCTTATCGATCAGGAACTGCATCGTATAGGCGAGCAACGCGGTTTACATCGCGTATATAAATGCTAAACACCCAACCTCCGTCCGTGAAATATCGTCTTCTTCAACCGACTAGTTTCATCTTTGCAAGAGACGATTAAGAGATGATGAGGAAGCAAGTTTGAAAAATAAGGGGTAGAAGTCCATTAATAAAAACAAAAATTAATAACTAAGATCCTAAGGACCTAGTTACTCGATGTGCATGCATATATTTGTCTTATAAAAAAATTACATATTCAAAAGATCATGAATCTAATTACAAATAATTACAAGATTCGAGTGATTTTAAATAAAATTCGAAAGTTAGACATTTGGATTCTTTTTAGTAAAAATATGTGTATCTAAATTAAATTTTCAAAATTGTTAAAAAAAATTGAGTTAAAAGCACTCCAATAAAATGCCCAAACAAGATTGAAAAATTCATCATTCACCACCAGTTTTCGCCCAAACAAGATTGAAAAATTCATCATTCACCACCAGTTTTCGCAGGAACTTGCGGAGGAGATTTACTTATATTCAAATAAATCTAAAATTATTTTTAATTTAATTATATTCAAATCTAAAAATAGATAGTAGTATTAATTAGATTAGATGACAAAAACAACAGAATTTTTCATAAATAAATAAAATTGACATAGAACC